ATCTGGGTGGGATGGCTCTCTGGAGGGGCAATGTGGGTTGAATGGTCTGCTTCCACACTGTAGGGGCTCTATTATTGAGGGAGTTAATGTCGATGGTGTTTTAGATGGGGTGCCAATTAAATGGGCTGCTTTTGCCCAGGAATGAACTTCTTGATCGCTTTACCTCTCCAGGTCTCTTCCCTCCTTTAACAGGCTCCTTAAAACCCATCTTTAACTCCTGATGCGATATCTTCCTGTTTGGCTGATTGCCAAATCCTCTTGGCAAATATTCCTGTGAAAAGTCCTTGGGTGCCTTATTGCGGCAACGGCAATATCGAAATGAAATCTGCTGTGGTCACAGAATTGTAAAACCGCACAGAAAAGGGCCATTGGACCCATCAAGTCTTTGATGGCCCTCCCAGAGAAGCAACAATCCTGCAGCAGTGCACCATCGCAAGTGCTTCAGCAGTGCACCATCTCAGGAGCTGCAGCAGTGCACCATCACAGGGGCTGCAGCAGTGCACCATCGCAAGGGCTGCAGCAGTGCACCATCGCAATGGCTGCAGGTGTGCATCATCGCAGGAGCTGCAGTAGTGCATCATTCCAGGGGCTGCAGCAGTGCATCATTCCAGGGGCTGCAGCAGTGCATCATTGCAAGGGCTGCAGTAGTGTACCATTGCAAGTGCTGCAGCAGTGCATCATCACACAGGCTGCAGCAGCGTAACATCACAAGGGTGGCAGCAGTGCATCACTGCAAGGGCTGCAGCAGTGCATTATTGCGAAGGCCGCAGCAGTGCACCATTGCAGGGGCTGCAGCAGTGCACCATTGTGAAGGCTGCAGCAGTGCACAATCGCAAGTGCTGCAGCAGTGCATCATCGCAAGGGCTGCAGCAAAGCATCATCGCAAGGACTGCAGCAGTGCATCATCGCAAGGGCTGCAGCAAAGCATCATCGCAAGGGCTGCAGCAATGCATCATCGCAAGGGCTGCAGCAGTGCGTCATCGCAAGGGCTGCAGCAGTGCGTCATCGCAAGGGCTGCAGCAGTGCGTCATCGCAAGGGCTGCAGCAAAGCGTCATCGCAAGGGCTGCAGCAGTGCATCATCACAGGGGTTGCAGCAGTGCACCATCACACAGGATGCAGCAGTGCATCATTGCAAGGGCTGCAGCAGTGCACCATCACAGGGGCTGCAGCAGTGCATCATCGCAAGGGCTGTAGCAGTGGATCATCGCAAGGGCTGTAGCAGTGGCTCATCACAAGGGCTGCAGCAAAGCATCATCGCAAGGGCTGTAGCAGTGCATCATCGCAAGGGCTGCAGCAGCTTTGCAAGGCGAGGGAATTGGGAATAAGTGCAGCCGTGGCTGAAAGCCTGGAGGAATCACAGAGAGTTGCGCTGTGCTACTGCTACCTTTCTAAGCGCTGCTCTGCCTTCGCAGCTCATGGTTAAATGTGGACTCAACAAACCCCACCCACCCCATTTCCCCGCCTGGGTTACGGTGTAAAACAAAAATGCAAGGACTACTTCCTCCAGCATAGCGACACAAACGTGTGTGATTTGCTTTAACGTATGGGAATTCTTCATCGGAACGCTCACACACGCTAATGCACGCGTCACACTGACCAAACCCAATGCAGTGTTGACATGTGAGTCTCGCTGAGAAAAACACGGCTTAAATAATACCTAACAGCCACCAAGCAGATCCTTCGCTTGCCAGCAACGCAAGTGTTTTCGCTCGCTCAGAGGTGAGCACTGACAGCGAGGGGACAGAGGTGGACTGGAAAGCACATCCCAGGCTTGGCCAATGCACTCGAGAATGCTTTCCCTCTGCTCCGTGCTCCTCTTCGGGCGGCACACAGAGTCAGCGTCATTTTACCGCACGCAGTGTCACACTCCCATCTCCGGGTCACATGCACACCGGCTCCAGCCCACTTGAAGCCTCAGGCATTGCCTCCGAGTGTAATCAGGGATTAAAGGAATTGAACGGAGAGGAGAAGAGGTTGCAAAGAGAATTAAGGAGGAATCTTTTCACCCAGAGGCTGGCGGGAAATCTGGAACTCACTGCCTGTGGAGACGATAGAGGCCAAAACACTCGTAGTATTTAGATCAGCACTTAAAATGCAGGACAATACAAGTGGGCCTTTTGTAGTGCAGTGACCTCTGGACTAGGGGGCTCGGGTTCAGGTGTCACCTATTCCAGAGGTGTGTCCTAATACTTGAGAAGAGGCTAAATTCTGCGGATGCTGAATATCTGAAACTAACGCCGAAATTGCCAGAGGAAACTCAGCAGGTCTGGCAGCATCTGTGGAGAGAGAGAGAGAGAGACAGAGTTAACATTTCGAGTCTGGTTATGAATCATTCCTCAGAACTGAAGGGCTGAATGGCCTGCATCTTTATTCCAGACTTGAAACATTAACTTAGTGTCTCTCTCTCTTCTGTGACAATCCTATGGCTTTAAGAGGTGTATTTTGTCCTTTTTTTCCGGAAGAGTGTTTGAGACAGAGGGGCTGACTGGGATATTTCAAGTAAATATGCTTGTGAGCCCCTTGGGGCCTTTTTTTTCAAATTTGGAACAGTAGAAGCAGCATGAATGGGTGGAGTCAGGCTCCCACAGAGCCAGGATTTTTACTTTTAGCTTTCTGCAGTTGCTAGAGTCTTGAAGCTGGATGTGGAAGCTGTTATTCCTCTCGCTGTTACAGCTAAAAGTTGGGGTTCTCTTTCTGCTGCTAGAATTGAACGTGAGACAATCTATTTCATTGAATTTGCCTTTGCCAAGGATATGTTTAAGGGATGTTACGATATTGGAACAGTTGCTACTTAGTCACTAAAAAATCTACCATTCTGTAGAGTTTTCCAACAGAGTCATTCCAATTCTTCTTTCTTTTGTTTGTATTTTAACTATACTGTAAGAACAAAGTGTGTTTTGCCTCAAGTCTGGTGGTTTGACTAATCAAATAGCATCTGGAACACAACGCCTTATACTTGCCTTTAAAAACAAGTAAAAGTTGGGGTGTAGTCTGTCTAATATATTTTGATGGGGTTTGGTCTAGTCCATAACACTTCCCAGCTGCTGAGTTTTTTCTAGCATTTCTGTGTGTGTTCTAATATCTGCGAACAGGCTGTTTAGAAAATATCTACAAACTTTTGGGGCCACTGCTGAAAAATGGAATTTCAGCAGATAGGTGCTTGATGACTAGTGTGGAAATGATGGGCTGAAGGGTCTCTTTCTGAGGCGTAAATCTCTTTGACACTTCCTTTTTGGGAGGAAGAATTCTCTACAATGGTGTTTTCAAAGGGGCACCCCTTTAAATTGTGACTTCTCTCTGAAGTCTCTCTGACATGAGGAAACATGTACTTGCTACCCACCTTAGCAATCCCCCTCGAGGGTGTTTATTGTTTCAATAAGATTGCCTCTCAATTTTCTAAACTTCAAAGTGTAGTCCCCCACTCTCTCCTCACAAACCAAAATTGGAGGTGTAGTGGACAGTGAAGAAGGTTGCCTCAGAGTACAACAGGACCTCGATCAGATGGGCCAATGGGCTGAGGAGTGGCAGATGGAGTTATATTTAGATAAATGCATTTTGGAAAGGCCAATCAGGGCGGGACTTATACATTTAAAGTGGGAGTGTTGCCGAATAAAGAGACCTTGGGATGCAGGTTCATAGCTTCTTGAAAGTCGCAGGTAGACAGGATAGTGAATAAAGTGTTTGGTGCTGTTGCCTCTATTGGTCAGTGCATTGAGTATAGGAGTTGGGAGGTCACGTTGCAGCTGTACAGGACATTGGTTAGGGCTGCTTCTAGAATACTCTGTTCAATTCTGGTCTCCCTGCTATAGGTAAGAATTGAAACTTGAAAGGGTGCAGAAAAGATTTATGAGGATGTTGCTGGGGTTGGAGGGTTTGAGCTACAGGGGGAGGCTGAATAGGCTGGGGTTATTTTCCCTGGAGCATTGGAGGCTGAGGGGTGACCTTATAGAGGTTTATAAAACCATGAGGGGCATAGATAAGGTGAACAGCCAAGGGTAAGGGAGTCCAAAACTAGAGGGGCATTGGTTTAAGGTGAGAGGGGAATGATATGAAGGGACCTAAGGGGCAACTTTTTCACGCAGAGGGTGGTGCTTGTATGGAACGAGCTGCCAGAGAAAGCGGTGGAGGCTGGTACAATTACAGCATTTAAAAGGCCTCTGGATGGGGACATGGATAGGAAGGGTTTAGAGAGATATGGCCAAATGCTGGCAAATGGGACTAGATTATTTTAGGATATCTGGTCAGGATGGATGAGTTGGACTGAAGGGTTTGTTTCATTGTTGTACATCTCTACGACTCCTGACGGGAAACCCAAGCCTCGCAGTCCCTTACCTTGATGCTGAGGATGTGAGTACCAGCCTTGACCAATTCATCAGCCAGCTTCAGGTAGTAATCCAGGGAGTACTTGGTTCTCGTGGGGTCGCAGACGTCCCCAGTGTAGGAGATGGAGGCCTCCACCACACCGCCAGCGTTTCCCGCAGCCTCCATGCCCAGGATCATGTTCGGCAGGTAGTTGAGGGAGTCGAACACGCGGAAGATGTCCATCCCGTTCTCCTTGGCCACTTCGCAGAACCTGATGGACACATCCACATGGAGGGGTGAGATCCGAGCCTTTTGCAAGCTGCCCTCCCCCACCCCCTCCAGCCTCCCGCACTGCGAAAGGTCATTCGGGCCATTGGCTCCAAGCTTGCTGTTCCAGGTCTCCCTCTCTCCCCATCCTTCAATCCCTTTCTCCCTCGTTCCTTCGCCCCTTCCCCCATTCCATTCAATACATCCATGCGAGTTACCTTCACCGCTCCCTCTGGCTAAAGGAATTCCTTCTGAATTCCCAATCGGATTTCTTGAACAATTACGCTTTCCCAGGATGCGGCCAGGCCAGCATTGGTTCCGCCCCCAGCCCTCTTATATATATATGCAAAAAATTCTGGAAATTTGAGTCTAATGTGGAGAACATCAGAGGAAACCCAGCAGTGGGGTAGGGGGAGGGAACAGTGGCCTAGTGGTATTATCACTAGACTGCTAGTCCAGGGGAACTCAGCTGATGTTCCAGGGACCTGGATTCAAATCCCACCATGGCATTTGAATTCAAGAAGAGAATCTGGAATTAAGGGTCTAGTGATTACCATGAAACTGTTATTGATTGTTGGAAAAGCCACTCTGGTTCACCAATGCCCTATAGGGAAGGTCATCTGTCATTTTTACCTGTCTTGGGCCTACACATGACTCCAGACCCACAGCAATGTGTAACTATCCTCTGGGCAATTAGGGACAGGCAATAAAAGCTGGCCTAGCCAGCGATACCCTCAGACTGTCAGTGAATTATAAAAAAAGGCCCTGCCAGGACAGAGGAACAGAGTTAACGTTTTGAGCCTGGTATAACGCCATTTCAGAGGGCGGTTAAGCGTTCACGGTGTTGTTGTGGAGTCTGGAAGCCGGGAGCGGGTAAGGACTGTGGATTTCCCCTCTCGAAAGGACTTTTGAGAACTATAGGGGTTTTGCAGCTGTCAACATTATATTCACTGGGTGTAGCAGTGCTGGGATTTGAACTCCTTTCTCCAGACCAGTAATCTGGGCCTTCCCAGAATGAAAAACCAGTAAAACATGTGCACCATGAAAACTGGTCTGACTTAGCTCAAAGTTCCGTTCATTTCCAAGCAGGAGTTTTATTCGATATGTCTTTTTTACCTCTGGGTATGGATTACTGTGGCACTGCACCTCCATCTTCCAGTCTACCCCATACGCAGAAATAATTTCTTGACATCGAATATATTGACCTCCTTCACAGGTTGAAGCACCTCCATCACGTTTACCTTCAGGGCATTTATGTTCAGTGAACTAGGTTTTTTTGATGTGGGTCGATGAGGGTAATGTGGTGGATGCGGTGTACGCAGTCTTCAGTGGGGACACCATATCGCACACGCTTTAGCAACGCTAGTGCCCATAGAAGGGGAAGGACATGGGTGCCATGTTGGCCGTGCAATGAGAAACAGAGACTAGAAGTGAACTAAAAGTAAGCACTGAAGGTGCAGCAGGCGGTGATGAAGGCAACTAGTACATTGGCCTTTTCATAGCGAGAGGATTGAAACACAGGAGCAGGGATGTCTTGCTGCAGTTGTACAGGGGCCTTGGTGAGACCACCCCTGGAGTACTGTGCGCAGGTCGGGGTCTCCTGATCTGAGGAAGGATGTTCTGGTGATGGAGGGAGTGTAGCAAAGGTTTACCAGACTGATTCCTGGGATGGCAGGACTGACGTATGGAGAGAGACTGGATTAGTTAGGACTATATTTGCTGGAGTTTAGAACAATGTATAGAAACCTATACAATTCCAACAGGACTAGACAGGGTCAACGCAGGAAGGATGTTCCCATGACCTTGGAAATCTAGAACCAGGGGTTCACAGTCTGAGGATTACAGGGTAGGCCATTTAATACTGAGATGAGTAGAAATAGAGGTAGGGGTACGATTCTTGCTGTGGGTGCGAGAGGTCCAGGGTTCAATTCCCGGACAAGCCCTGATTGCTTGCCTTTGGTTTGGCAGCACGGTGGCTCAGTGGTTAGCACTGCTGCCTCACAGCGCCAAGGACCTGGGTTCAATTCTACCCTCAGGCAACTGTCTGTGTGGAGTTTGCACATTCTCCCCGTGTCTGCGTGGGTTTCCTCCGGGTGCTCCGGTTTCCTCCCACAGTCCAAAGTTATGCAGATTAAGTGGATTGGCCATGCTAAATTGCCCATAGTGTTCAGGGATGTGAAGATTAGGTGGGTTATAGGGGGATGGGTCTGGGTGGGATGCTCTGAGGGTCAGTGTGGACTTGGGCTGAAGGGCCTGTTTCCACACTGTAGGGATTCTATGATCTATGAAATGTCTTCACCCAGAGAGTGGGGAGCCTGTGGGATTCTCTGCCACAGAAAGCAGTTGAGGCCAAAACATTGAATGTTTTCAAGAGGGAATTAGATACAGTTCTTGGGGCTAAAGGCATCAAAGGGTATGAGGGAGGAAGCAGGAAGAGGGGACTGAGGTGGATGAACAGCCATGATCCTATTGAAGGTGAAGCATGCTAGAAGGGCTGAATGATCTATACCTGCCCCCTAGTTACCAAGCCTCTATGTTAGAGCAGTGCTTTCATGTGACAGGGGAAGGTTTATAATAACGGAGCATGGGGATTTGATTGTAGGACTGCTGCTTTCATAGTGTAAGCTCATGCACTAGACTTGTGGGTAGAGATGACTCAGAGCGAGGAAGTGGTACAGTCTGTGAGGAGGGAAGTGTTAGACTCGTAGGTTACCAAGGATTGGTGTGAGTTTTGCAAACCACAGACTGGCTTCGGCGCAGTAAGAGGCCGTTCAGCCTGTTGTCTGGGTGCTAGCTCTCCGCAGGAGTGATCGCCTTGCACCGCCCTCCTGTCACTCTGGCTGTAATTCCTGCTCATCCAAAGTGACCCTGCCTCCTACCGCACCATCAGGCAGTGACTTTCAAGACCCCGACCACTCATGGCAGGTTCCACACATTTTCTGAGAAGCGAAGGCATCGGACAGAGTGCGGGAAACACTCACAAACATATTGCCAAGGGACTGGGAATGCGGATGGTTTGGAGATGCTGGGAGCGGTTACACCCATGAGGGAGGAGGAGTAGAGAGAGAGAGAGAGATAACAAGGTGTAGAGCTGGATGAACACAGCAGGCCAAGCAGCATCATAGGAGGAGGAAGACTGACGTTTCGGGCGTAGGCCATTCAGCCTCAAGGGAAGAAAATCTGCTGTCCTTACCCAGTCTGGTCTACACGTGACTACAGGCTACAGCAACAAGATTTCTTTCTCTGAGCCTCCCACTGGGCAATTAAGGATGAGGAAAAAGTGCTGGCTTAGTCAGGTGTGCAAATTGAGTCATAGAGATATACAGCATGGAAACAGACCCTTCGGTCCAACTCGTCCATGCTGACCAGATACCCTACATTAACCTAGTCCCACTTGCCAGCATTTGGCCCATTTCCCTCTAAACCCTTCGTTGGTGAGGCCACATTTGGAGTACTGCATACAATCTGGTCGCTCTCTATAGAAAGGATATTATTAAACTAGAAAGGGTTCAAAAAAGATTTACAAGGATGTTACTGAGACTGGACGATTTGAGCTATAAGGAGATGCTGAATTGGCTGGGACTTTTTCCTCTGGAACATTTCAGGCTGAGGGGTGACCTTATAGAGGTTTATAAAACCATGAGGGGACAGGGTGAACAACCAAGATCTTTTCTCTGGGGTGGGGGAGTCCAAAACTAGAGGGGCATAGGTTTAAGGTGAGAGGGGAAAGATTTAAAAGGGACCTGAGGGGCAACTTTTTCACACAGAGGGTGGTGTGTATATGGAACGAGCTGCCAGCGGAAGTGGTGGAGGCTGGTACAATGACAACATTTAAAAGGCATCTGAATGGGTACATGAATAGGAAGGGCTTAGAGGGATGTGGGCCCATCGGAGGCAAGTGGTACTAGTTCAGTACAGGAAACCTGGTCATCATGGACGAGTTGGGCCGAAGGGCCTTTTTTTTTGTGCTGCATGACTCTATAAAATGCCCCTCTTCTTCACTCAACATTGTCCCCGTGGCACCCAGGGACAGCAGGGCTGTTTTGATTCCCATCCGCAGTTCTTCGTGCTTGGTGTGACCTAGAATCGTGGGACCTGACGCTGCTGAGGAAGGGGGGTTGTTCAGCCCATCAGTGTTGGTACTGTTCTACAAGCCCTGCGAGTTACTCCGTTTTAGCTATGAGTCAACTTCCCCTTCCGAACACCTCGACTGGATCCGTCATTCCCGACAGTGTGCCCCAGATCACGGCAACCCACCGCGCAACACAATTGTTATCCTTGGAATGTTCACGGATATCACTGGAGAAGGCCAGCATCTGTTGACCGCTCCCCCCCGACCTTGAACTGAGCAGCATACTGGTCCATTACATAGGGGCTCTGGGGTTAAACTGCAGGTCTGGAGTCACATGTACGCTGGAGGTATTTTTAAAATTTATTTACAGGATGTGGAGGGGGGGTGGGTGTTGCTGGCTAGTCCAGCATTTATTGCCCATCCCTAATTGCCCGGAAGAGCCAACCACATTGTTGTGTCATAGTCATACAGCTTGGAACAGGCCCTTCGGTCTGCATTGACCATGTTCCCAAACCAAACTAGTTCCGCCTTCCCTGTGAGATTTTTTCTGAATAAGGGTCCAGACCCGAAACGTCAGCCTTCCTGCTCCTCTGATGCTGCTTGGCCTGCTGTGTTCATCCAGCTCTACACCTTGTTACCCCACCTTCCCTGTGTTTGGCCCACATCCCTCCAAACTTTTTCTATTCATGAATTTATCCAAATATCTTTTAAGTGTACCTGCATCCACCACTTTCTCTCACAGCTCATTCCACAGACCAAACACTTTCTGTATAAAGAAATTTTCTGAAGAAGGGTCTAGGCCCGAAACATCAGCTTTCCTGCTCCTCTGATGCTGCTTGGCCTGCTGTGTTCATCAAGCTCTACACCTTGTTATCTCATACTCTGTATAAAAGCGGGTCTGGAGTCACACGTAGGCCAGACCAGGCGAGGATGGTGGTTTCCTCGATCCATGGTCATTATTATACTCCTAATTTCAAATATTCACTTTATTGAATTCAAATCTCACCATCTGTTGTGGCTGGATTTGAACCCGGGTCCCCAGAACATTACCTGGGATCTTCCTGGAATAACAGCACAGCAACAATACCACTAGGCCTTAAATTTAGACACCAGGGACTGTAATAAAATTTCTATCATATCCTTCAGTGGTTTTGAACACCTTTATCAGATCTCCCACTTTGCTTAGATGAGGACTTTACCAGTACCATCAGTCTCTCTATATTCAGTAACGTCCCTCATAGATTCACTAAACCACCACTAAAGGCGCACTAATCCCAATTTCCTGCACTTGTCCCATATCCTTCAATGTTATATTTCAAGTGTGAGTCCAAATCTTTTTTAAAGGTTGTAAGGTTTCCAGCCTCCACTACCTTTCCAGGCAGTGCATTCCAGATTCCCACCATCCAGAGTGAAAAGGTTTTTCTCAAATCCCCTCTGAATCTCCTGCCTCTTACCCTAAAACTATGTCCCTGTGTGATTGACCCCTCAACCAAGGGGAACAGCTGCTCTCTATTCACCCTGTCCATACCCCTCATAATCTTATACACCTCAATCATGCCCCCCTCAATCTTCTCTGCTCTAGAGAAAACTATCCAAGCCTATCTAGTCTCTCCTTATGGCTCATCTCCAGTCCCATCCCGCTAAATCTCTCTCCAGGGCCTACTTTGACATAAAGTGCCCAAAACTGAGCGCTGAGGCCTAGCTGAGGCCTGGTGATTTGTACAGATCTAGCATGAACTGACTGCTTTTGCATCCACTGCTCTTCCACTGATAAAGCTTCCGAGGGGACACTTGTGAAAAATAAACGCCTGCCTGATGATCTGTTTCCACCCCCACCCCACCCCCATCCTGGAGAGCTGGGATGTCTCAGTGCGGAGGAGATGGCAATGGATGGTGTGATATATGGGATCTGGGAGTTCTAATCCAGATCTGTTCTGTCCTCACTATCTCCTGGAGGTGTCTGAACCTTCAGGAAGGTATCTGTACCTGATCTGTGGTGGTACTTATGTCAGTTCTTGTAATGTAAGGAGGGGATGAGAGTAATGGAACACTGAAGGATTTATTGCAATTATTCCCGGATTTGTTCCCAGTGTCTACATACATTACAAGCACAGGGGGAACTTGAGCGTCTGGACTTTTTTATTTATTCATTAACAGAATGAGGATGTCACTGGCTAGGCAGCATTTATTGCCCCATCCCTAATTGCCCAGAGGGCAGTTAAGAGTCAACCACATTGCTGTGGGTCTGGAATCACACGTAGGCCACACCAGGAAAGGATGGCAGATTTCCTTCCTATTATTAGTCCAAATCAGGGCAAGACTTATAAACATAATGGTAAGGTCCTGGGGAGTGTCACCAAACAAAAAGGCCTTGGGGGGCAGGCTCATAGTTCCCTGAAAGTGGAGTCGCAGGTAGACAGGGTAGGGAAGAAGGCGTTTGGTATTGTTATGAAGTTGTGTCAAGTATTCACGAATTGGAAGGCAGCAGTTAGAATTTGTTGGTTAAAAATGATAGTGGAGAAAAGCAGTGTGTCGTCCCTTTGTTCTTAGAGATTTTTAAAATATATGTCTGTGAGCAGCAGCTGGAGGGTGCCTGTACAAAACGTACCCAAGACTGAAACATGTATATTGAAAGGCCAAGCAGCACTTTTTTTTTTACCAATCAATTTTAGCCAATCAATTTGAACTAGGCCCTGAGCTACCAAAAACCAACTGAATTTAAGGCTGATGGTTTTGGCAACCTGAAACCAATCATATTATAAGAAATCGATGTGTCATCAGCAGGTATATAAAGATGAGGGCATTTGGAAAATCAGAGAGAGCCAATTGTCATCTGAGGGGACAGCAAGCCTGCCATCTGAGAAATAAGCCCCGAGCTCTCACAAGAAATCGCTAACCTCTCTGAGAAAGCACCATCTTATCGATTAAAGGCATTTTTAGCTCAGAGTTCTCAAAAAAGAAATTATAGAGAAAACATCCCTGACAGCAGGATCAGCAGAAGAAAGGCATTTGTGGCGTCAGATCAACAGAAGGCAGAGGGTTCCAGAAGACACAGTCTGTGTGAACCTGGAGAGATTAAGTTTTTAATTTATTGTTGTCTTATTAATTGGGTTTATACAAGTGGGACTTGTGTTTGTTTGAACAGCATTCCAGTAGAATTTAGCTCAGTTAAGGAGTAAATAGTAGTTTAAGGGAGAGTTGTTTGGTTTGTTAGTAATTCTGATCGTTGTTAAGGTTAAATAACTAAATTGCTTCTTGTTATTTCTAAAGTGGATCAAGGATTTTCATTCTTTTAGCCACTCTTTTCACAGATTACGAGGAGAAAGCCGAGCTTCTCTGGGTGTTTTGGGGGTAATTATTAGAAGAGAACATCTAATCCCGCCATAGCAGATTGGGGCTTGGTTTGGTTTAACTGTCACAGGGGTTCGGCCATTTCCCCTCTGTAACAGTATGCTTGCCTTTATTTGTCAGTGCATTGAGTATAGGAGTTGGGAGGTCATGTTGCGGCTGTACAGGACATTGGTTAGGCCACTTTTGGAATACTGTGCTCAATTCTGGTCTCCCTGCAATAGGAAAGAATTGGAACTTGAAAGGGTTCAGAGAAGATTTACAAGGATGTTGGCAGGGTTGGAGGGTTTGAGCTACAGGGAAAGGCTGAATACACTGGGGCTATTTTCTCTGGAGCATCATGAGGTGGATGGATAAGGTAAATAGCCAAGGTCTTTTCCCTGGGGTGGGGAAGTCCAAAACTAGAGGGCTTAGAGTCATAGAGATGTGCAACAACCCTTCGGTTTAATTCATCCATGCCAACCAGATATCCGAAAAAATTTGCCAGCGTTTGGCCCATATCCCTCTAAACCCTTCCTATCCATGTACCCATCCAGATGCCTTTTAAATGCTGTAATTGTACCAGCCTCCACCACTTCCTCTGGCAGCTCATTCCATACACACACCACACTCTACGTTAAAAAGCTGCCCCTTAGGTCCCTTTTAAATCTTTCCCCTCCCACTTAAACCTATGTCCTGTAGTTTTGGACTCCCCTACTGCTAGGGAAAAGACCTTGGCTATTCACCCTATCCATGCTCCTCATGATTCTATAAACCTCTATAAGGTCACCCCTCAGCCTCCGACGCTCCAGGGAAAATAGCCCCAGCCTATTCAGCCTCTCCCTGTAGCTCAAACCTTCCAACCCTGGCAACATCCTTGTAAATCTTTTCTGAACCCTTTCAAGTTTCACAACATCTTTCCTATAGCAGGGAGACCAGAATTGCACACAGGTTTAAGATGAGAGGAGAAAGATTTAAACAGGACCTGAGGGGCAACTTTTTCATGCAGAGGGTAGTGCATGTATGGATGATCTGCCATCTGATGGGTACATGAATAGGACGGGTTTACAGGGAATCGGGCCATATGTTGGCAAATGGGACGGGATTAATTTAGGATATCTGGTCGGAGTGGATAAGTTGGACCAAAGTGTCTGATTCCGTGCCATATGGCTCTACGACCCTAGAGAACCTGATAGTTTTTACGACAATTGACAATAGTTTCACGGTCATCAGTAGATTCTTAATTCCAGTCTTTTTTTGAAAAATTGAATTAAAATTCTACCATCAGTAACAGTGAGATTTGAACCTAGGACCCCAGAACATTAGGTAAATTTCTGGATTATTAGTCTAGTAATAACACCACCAGGCTATCAGCTCCCCACTGAAGCAAAGTCAGTTGGACATAGAGTGTAGCATGCCTTTCTCAGCACGTCATGCTGCAAGAGGGTTTAATACGAGGGAGAATGAAACCTTTGGACAGTCAGGACACATGCTATGATATGGTGCGGTTATCGGGGATATATCACATACCAACCGCGAGACATCACACAGGGAAGGGCAGATGGGTCATCTTACTTGTGCACTGCGTTGTCCGGGTAGTTGGTATAACCCACAGCGTTGGCACCCCTCAGGAGCATCTGGAAGGGGATGTTGGGAATCAGGTCTCGCATCTCCTGCAGGCGTTTCCAGGGACACTCGTACAGGAAGCGCATTGCCACGTCAAACGTGGCACCTGTGGGCGAGAGGGTATCAGGGTCAACTGGCATCAGCTGAGCAAACTGTCAGCAGCAAAACAAAACCCAGACTGAGCCTTTTTTAACCACAATTTCCTTCAAACTCCTCAAAGACCAAACTAAGACAAACTACCCCCCCAACACCTACCCAAACAACACCTGAATCCATTTTCTTTGGGATGGCAATGTGGATTTTCAATTCCCTAGTTGGTGGTTTCCCAGATTAACCCTGTTTGAGAAAGGAATTGACCCTTTGTTGAGTCTTGTCCCCATCTGACCATCTCCTGTGGGTGTACAGAAGGAGAATTTGTGATAGAGTGAGGATGCTATGCCTTTATGAGGTGCATTTTGTCCTGGTTTCTCTCTAACAGAGAGGTTGAACAAGAGGTAGCAAGCACTCTCTGGCTGCATAAACAGCTTGTGAGGCCTTGGGCTATTTTTTTAAAAGTTCGAACAACAGAAGCAACCTGGATGGGTGTTGCCATCTCTCTCAGACCAGGATTTCTACCTTTTTTTCAGCTTTTAGCTTGAGCTGAAGCTGCTGCAGTCCCGAAGAAGCAAAAGCTATATTTTCCCCTTTCTTGGTTACAGCTAGAAGCTGGGATTTCTCTCTCTGCTGCTGGATTGTGTATGAGACAATCTGTTTCCTGAATTTGCCTTTTTGCCAAGGTGTGTGTTTATGGGACGTTACTATATTGGAATAGTTAATTCGTAATAATTACTGTATCTATTATTCTGTCAAGTTTTCCAAGAAACTTAAGTTATTCTAAGTTCTTTGTTTTGTTGTATTTTAACTATAGTGTTTGAATAAATTGTGTTTTGCCTAATGTCAAGTAGTCCAATTGCATCTGGAACACAGCACTTTATACTTGCCTTTAATATGAGAAAAGTTAGGGTCTAGGTTACTCTCTTAAAATATTTTGAGGGAGTCTGGTCTGGTCCGTAACAGTGAGCGGTTTCTCGTTCCGTTCTGGAGTCTGTACGCAAGTCAACTTGTGTACAAGTAGGAATGCATAACTGGACAATATAAAGCTGCTGTTCTTAAGGACGGGAAATGTTTGGATATCAGATCTTTAAAATTACACCTCCGTGTGTGATCGCCTTTATAAGCACGAGGGTCTGTAACTTGGGCGTTCACAATTCGGGGACGCCCTGCACATCAATAAATGCCCCAAAACACTTGATGTGATCCCACGTGATTGACATCTTTTTTTCCAGTCGAGGCTATGTTTAAGATGGATGTGTCAGCATGGGAGGTAGTGATCGGGCTCCTGAGCCCGTCGTACCAGGCCGCTCACATCCTTCTCTCTCCCTCTTCAATCTTTCCCTTCTTGCTTTTCTTCATCTTCTGATGTCATGGCGTCGGCTGGGGCGTTGATGATGCCTGGAGTGGGGAGGGGTGGGGAGGCTCCTGCCTGTGGTAGGCCTGGAGCATGGACTCAACGGGTCACCAGTTGTGCCAGTGATCGTGTCGAAATTGGGCACACGTGGCTATGGTATGCCCAGAGCGTGGTCTTTTGGTAGATCGTCGTTGCTGTACACGGAGCAGGGACTGCTCGAGGCCTGGGACACCTTACAAAGAATTTGTAGAAGCCCTGGAGTTGTGTTTGAAGGACCCTTGTACAGAAGATGAAATCTATTCATGTAATTCGTTTCATTCCTTTTGTAACTCCAAATGGCGCTTGGCTGCGGTGACAAAACACTTTCCACTGTACCTTTCAAGACATTAATGCCAATGAGTAACTCACTCACTCTTAATTAATGCAACAGATGATAAGGGAGTGCCGCAGTGTCGGAGGGTCAGTACTGACGGAGCGCCACACTGTCGGAGGGTCAGTACTGAGGGAGCGCCGCACTGTCGGAGGGTCAATGCTGAGGGAACGCCGCACTGTCAGAGGGTCAGTGCTGAGGGAGCGCCGCAGTGTCGGAGGGTCAATGCTGAGGGAGCGCCGCACTGTTGGAGGGTCAGTGCTGAGGGAGTGCTGCAGTGTCGGAGGGTCAGTGCTGAGGGAGTGCCGCACTGTTGGAGGGTCAGTGCTGAGGGAGTGCCGCAGTGTCAGAGGGTCAGTACTGAGGGAGTGCCACACTGTCGGAGGGTCAGTGCTGAGGGAGTGCCGCACTGTTGGAGGGTCAGTGCTGAGGGAGTGCCGCACTGTAGGAGGGTCAGTAATGAGGGAGTGCCGCACTGTTGGAGGGTCAGTGCTGAGGGAGTGCCGC